TGGCTTCTAGGGGCAACTCCTTAAGAAATCTATCCCCATTTCACAATTTTTAAAAAATAGAACTGGGAGAGATGTTTTTGGAATAAAACATTTCTTGTCATGTGGACCAATTTAAGCAATTGGACTAACTGTTAATATTAATGGGATTTTTTTCCTACTTCTCCATTCCTAATATAAATTAGTTACCCCCTGAAGATCTAGCTCTACTTAGCATGTAGATAGGGAGAATTACTCGGTGCAATTTCATGCTTGGTTTGTGTTCTCTTTGGTTCTATTTATCAAGTGGTTTGCATGCTAGTTTAAATGCTTTCACTCTTAAATGCATGAATATATATGGTAATATCTCTCTTCCCAGATTATCGGACCTGTGACTTTTTCAAGCATCCAAGAAGCCAGTCTGGGACATAGGAGAAAAGAACTACAGGAATACTGCATCATAAAACCTACACTTTGTTCCTTAGGCTTTCACTCAAAACCTTATTAACTCTTATTTAGCATATAAGCTTAAGTATATTTAATTTATTTCTAAATCAAAAGCAGATAAGAAGAAAAATAAAATTCAGAAAATGACATAATATTCATACAACTGCAAAGACTTAGAGATGTGGTAAACAATAATAAAAGCAAACAACTATAGATAATGAATTTAAATCAACTGTCAGGATATTAACTATGACTGGCATACATTGAAATGACAGAAAGCTTTCTAATACATTTTAGAAATAAATTTAACCAGAAATGACTTTAAGAGAAAGCAGTGTTTAAAAGAGAGATGTTATTAGCTGGGTTATGTATTAAAAGAAACCAACTTTAAATTCTTAAAGCCAACAAAACAGAAATGATTTTATAGAGGGTCCATATAATATACATACATCTTCCACATGTGTAATATATAGAGATAAGTTACATGTGATAGGAAGAAGGGCTCTCCTTAAAATGAGGCTCGCTTTCCATGAACTTTATATATACCACCACACTTTTCCATTCACTCATTCATTTAGCACTTACTAAGTGCTGACACAGCACTAGCTCCTAGTGAACCAGCAGAGTTGCTTTTGCACTGCAGATGGTCGTGACATTCTACTTCATTGTGTATTAGGTTCTGTGATAGAGGAAAGGTTGTCTGGGAGCAAATAGATAAGTGCCCCAGATCTGAGAGAGGTAGCATAGCAGGAGCCTTGGAGAATCAGAAAAATATCCCATTAAGAGGCCCTCCCTGGTGGCGCAATGGGTTAAGATGCAGCACTGCGAAGCTGCCACAGCCACTTCAGTGAGAGTTTGATCCCCAGCTGGCCTGGGAGGTGACCCACATGGTGCCGTACACTTCTCCTGTCTGCCTGCTGTTCTTCTCAGGAGTGTACTTCCTTGATCTGCCTGTTCTGCTCCCCACTCTGTCTGGCGAGTCCTCTCATGCCCCTGCACCTCTGGCTTGTACCCCAGATCTGTCTGCATAAATAAATAAATCTTTTTTTTTTTTTTAATCCCATTAGAGGGCTCTCCCTGGTGGCACAACAGTATAAAGCACTGCATTATAAAGCTCTCCAAAGCCACTGCAGCATGAGTTTGATCCCTGGCCAGGGAGCTGACCCACATGGTATGGCAGACCTCTTCTGACCTGCCCATTGATATCTTCAGCAGTGTACATTGTCAGTCTGACTGTTCTGCTCCCCACTCTGTCTCTGGTGAATCCTCTCACCTACCACACCTCTGGCCTGTACCCCAGTTCTCTAAGCATAAACAAATAAATCTTTTTAAAAAAATCCCATTAGGGCCCTCCCTGATGACGCAGCGGGTTAAAGCACAGCACTAAGAAGCTAAAGCCACTTCCACATGAGTTCGATTCCCGCCTGCCCCGGAGGAGACCACATGGCGTGGCAGACCTCTCCTGACCCACCGGCTGCTCCCCTCAGCAGTGTACTTCGTCGATCTGCCTGTTCTGCTCCCCTCTCTGTCTCTGGTGAATCCTCTTATCCTCCACATCTCTGGCCTGCACCCCGGTTACATATGAATAAATAAATAAATAAATCTTAAAAAAAATCCCATTAGTATTTACAGTTAGACCAATTGCTTAAATTGGCCCACATGACAAAAAAATGTTTTAAACTCAACCCTGAAGAGAGATGATCACTTTAGTAGGTAAATTGCTAGTAAAGGGAAGGGAACTGCAGGCAGGAGAAATAGCAAATGCAAAGGAAATGTGTATTTGGTAAGTATGGCTTAAGAGAATTTAACCACTTACACTTTCCAAAGATGTTGATGAACCAAGAAAAACGCTATATGTCATAAAGCTCAAAAAAATCTATAATACATATAAGTACATAAAACCTACAATACATAAAAATGCATAATCTAATCTTAGCAACATCACATGGATACAGATGTCTTCACCATATTGTGACAAATATTCAACCGAAGGTTCAAAGTCACATTCTAGTGAGGCCCTCAGGGCTGCTGGAAATATGGACAGATCTCTGTAATATGTGAGAGAGTTGAAAGCTCTGAGGCCATAGATATGAACTGGGAAAGAAATGTGTGTTGACGAACTATAGGACAGGAGCAATGGAGTCCAGAGAGGCCATAAAGGGACCCAAAACAAGAGTTCTCAAGTCAGATGGGTTTGGACACTGGTTCTGCCAGGTACTAAACAGTGACTTTGGACAAGATTCTCACCTTCTGAGCTCAGTGACCTCCTCTGTTAAATGGACCATTGGAAGGAATAATTGCATTTAGCATATTTAGCACATACAAAGTAAATAGCGAATAAACACTTCCCCATTCTGATAATGGCAACTAAAATTACACAGAACTGTTTTGTAAACGGATATAAATAGACCCAAAAGGTCAGATAGTTCTGAGGTAAGTGGGGGTACACCAAATACACGAACATATGCTTTTATGAATCATATCTTACATGAATACAGAACTTTATCATTTTCAAAATACTCCCATACACTGTATTTAATGTTCATAATAATTCTTCAAAGCAGGTAGAGTACATATTGTTCTCATTTTGCAGATGATGAACTGAATGTTAGAGAGTATAAGTAACTTAACAAGTGTAGCAACAAAGAGTCATGCCCAAGTTTTGCATTTTAATTTCTATATTCCAGCACAGGCTAAGAATCCCAGAACAAACAGAAAAGTTAAGAAACTTGCTGGAGAAGTTTGCTTTAGGTGATACTTCTATGGAAGAATGCCCTCTCACACAGTAAAATATGAAAGATGGATAAGGGTTCTTGCATCGTGGAAGCAAAACCAAGAAATAGAGTTGAATGTTGATGTCATTTTATTCACTTGCTAGATGAAACCTGAATAAAGTAGTATATTAAGAAATTCCTCAGAAGATTGCTAGTGTTAATGCTCAGATATTTTAAAATGTTAGTGGGCCCTCCCTGGTGGCGCAGCGGGTTAAAGCACAGCACAAAGAAGCTTAAGCCACTTCCGCATGAGTTCGATCCCTGCCTGCCCTGTAGGTGACCACATGGCGTGGCAGACCTCTCCTTATCCGCCCGCTGCTCCCCTCAGCAGTGTCCATCTGCCTGTTCTGCTCCCCACTCTGTCTCTGGTGAATCCTCTCACCCTTCACATCTCTGACCTGTACCCCAGTTCTGTACAAATAAATAAATAAATCTTAAAAAAAAATGTTAGTATTATGTGAGAAAACAGAGTAGTCAAACCTTGGCTTCATAGCTCCATATTTATGAGATGAACAAGCAGAATTAGGCATTTCCCTGTAGCCCCCTGTAACGTTGCTCATTCCAGATGTCATTTTAAGAGTAGCAGAACATAACCTTCCTAAAAGTATAAAATAAAAAGTTACAAATCCTTCAAGTTTCATATTGATTATATAGATTTTCCTTTGCACAGATTTTATTTTGTAAATGTACTCTTATCGGTACTGACAGAAGGCATGTCATTCAGTTTCCCGAATCTTATAAGAATATTATAAGCAAACTTTAATAATATGTATCTTCTCCCATTTCAGCTTTATCTCAGAATAGCTTGGGAATATTATATTTCACTATTGTTTATAATAAATCATGTAACCTACTTCCAAAAAAAAACAAGGAAAGAGAATGAATTCAAATAAGAAAAAAATTTTGCATAAAGATCTAGTAAGATGTTTTAAATTCCTAATCTGAGCTTATTCTATGAAATGAAAAAGCATTAATCATTTTTTTTATCTACATAGCACTCAAACTGGAGAGGCAGATTCTATTTTCTAACGCTTGGTTATTAAAATGTATTTTAGATGAAAGGCATAAAATGCTTATTTCCATACAAACTACTAGACAGAACAAATGAATAGAAACATCATCCTCATAGAAAATGCAAGCACCTGAGAAAGATATCTAGTCAGCCAGAAGAATGCCATAGAGTTTATCTTTCAGAATAACTATTTACTAGGATTACTTTTAATTAGTTAATGGCTTTTGGTCTGACAAAATAATAATAAAAAAGAAACAGTATCTCTTAGCTTATAATTTACTTGCAAAATTATTATTCCCATTCTATATACTAAATGTCTGAGACTCCCTCCCAATGCATATGTTGAAAGCCTACCCTCCAATGTGATATTAAAAGGTGGAGCCTCTGGCAGTGATTAGAATTAAATGAGGTCACGAGGGTGGAGTCCTCAGGAAAGGGATTAACCCCCTTAGAAAAGACATGAGAGAATATCTCCCCCTCTCTGCTTTCACCATCTGAAGCCACAGTAAGGAGAGAGCCATCTATGAAGCAGAAGGGGTCTCACCAGACACTGAGTGTGTCAGGGCCTTCAGCTGGGACTCCCCACCTCCAAAACTGAGAGGTGCAAGCATTTGTTGTTTGCACCACTCAGTTTATAGAATTTTTACTATTTCCAAAAGAACCAGGGCAGTTCACACTTGTATTTATGGAAAATGAAGGCTATGCCCCTTTCTCACTGACCGTGTCCCATGTTGTACAATAAAGTGCCAATAAACTTGCTTTTCGTTTACAGGCTTGGTTTGGTTTCATACCATAGTTGCCTTCAGGTTTCCAAAATCTGGCCTCCTCCCAAACTGCAGCTTCTGGAGTTGCCTCTTCCACACAGGCTTGTTCTCGGGGTTGGGTGGGCCCCTCACCTTCTCTCCATCCCTTGGTCTTCCTATCTAAGCTGCTTTTAGAACTGCCTTGACTTCCTGGAAATGGAATTACCAACGATGATTTGGATGTTCTAGACCCCTGGAAAGGCAAAGAGGAATTCCTGTCTTCTGAAGAGAGACCCCTGATCTTGTTCAACATATGCACATAGTAGAAATAAGTCTCCAGGACACTGGCCCCTTGCTCTGGTTTACTCAGTGGCTCTTCACTGCAGGAGAGGCTGTGGCCCACATCCTGGGGTGGGAAGGATCCCTTCAAGTGAGTTGTGGAAATGTTTCTGAAAATAGAGTGATTTGAAGGAAGTGTCTTCTCTGTTTTTTTGTGAGTTGTTTCCCCAGGGACCACTTGGCTTGTCTGCGTGGGTTGTTCATCCTTCTCAGGCAGTGGCAACTGGTCATACCAAGTGCTACCCCAGGCACCATCGGCATCTACAGTGGGTCCACAGAAGATAGTGGAATCTGAACACACAGGAAATACAGCATTGTCCAAGGGACCCTCTGACACCTCCAGTGGCTGACTGACAATTTGAGAGCCCAAAAAACTTTCAGGAAGTGTTAGGTCAAATTGCTTTTGAGTCATCAGAGGAAGGTTGCTTGTGGCAGAACCATGCACACTTCTGTTCTGAGCACCTCCTGGTATTGCCCCCAGGAAAACCTCCCCTGCCTGTTCCATAAGGACATGTTTCCAGTCACTTTTATGCTTAATCTCAGTATGGCGAGACCTCAAAGTGAGTCCCATACTGTCTGAGTCCCTCCTTCCATCAGCATTGTAACTGGAAGTTACGCACTGTCTCTCAGGGAGTCGCTGGATGAGTTCTTCATCCCTGGAGCTGTCAGCCTTGAGTTCCACTATGACCTCCTTAGAAGTTCCCACAGAGGACTCTGCCACTTCTCTGCACCACTCCCTGGATTCAGTGTCCAGGCATGTCTCCCCTAAGGAGACCATAGTTTTTGATACTAATGTGCTATGGTTTGTGGGAGAAAAGGTAATTCCTGAAAACCTTCTAAGTGTCCCTTTATTCTCTTCTGGTTCATCTAAACCTTCCTCCTCTGAGCTGTCCGTCAATGGGGTCCAGAAGTAACCATTTCTGAGTGGGCTCTGTCTGGCTTCCTCTAAAGTTTCACTTACTTCAGAAGTCTGGATGAGCTGTGGCAGAACCTTTAGTCTCTCAGGAAACATTTTATCGTCATCAGGATTTTGAATACAACTATTTCTTGATCTTTCATACTTTCCTTGAGTGGAATCTTCTTTCTGAAAACAATCAGGGAGAGACCTAGAAGTGCTTCCCTCCCCCTCACTCATCACTGGAGTTTCTTGCCATTCATAAGAGTTATTTCTGGGAAACTCCTGCTTCAAGAAGGAGCCTGAAAATTCTGAAGAGAAATCCACTTCTAAAAAGTTGTTTGGTGGGCTTAAAAAGAAACTGGGTATATCTGTTTGTGGGCTACACTGGTCTTCTTTGAGAAGGGGTGGAAAATACAATGACTTTGGATGGACATTTTTCTTACTTTCTTGAGCTTTTGAATATTGGCAAAGGTTAGACTGGGGGAATCCTGGAGAATCTGGGGGACACTTCAAACTGTACTCTTCCAAAGGGCTAGATAAGAACTTCTGAGCCCAACTTATTACATGGCGCAGCTTCTGTCTCTCAGGAACCAAAGCATCGGCCAACAAGTGGAGATCCAATTTTGTTAGGCAGTCCCCTTTCCTGGGTTCCTCCTGGGGTCGCTGGTCCTGAACCTGCTCTGATTCTCCAGGAGCTACTTTGGTCTCTTCCTGGAGTAAAGGTTTCTTTCCAATTGCCAAATAATGAGGGGATATCTGAATGCTGCTCACCTCAAAAGTTGGATTTTCTGAGGTATTCACTTTGCTGCCTTGGGATGCTACTAACAATGGTTGACTGTCTTTCCTGGAAGTATCACCCTTGATGATCCCAATGCTTTCATAATAAGCAACACGCTTGGCTCGTAAGAGTTTTAGGTCATGGGTTCGAGGAGTGTCTGCTTCATTCCTTGGAAAATGTTCAGTCAGAATGGGAGGTATGGGATCCATCTACAAATAAAAATGCAGAAACATTAAAAAACTGCACCATTTATGATCCTTCTAGCTATGTATCTAAAATGTGGCCTACAATCAATATATTAACATCTGACAACCTAACAAACATTATGATTAGAACTTGAGGGCAGTTGAATAATCTGCAATATTAATAAATGTTATGTCATGATATGGTTCTTAGTCCCTAAGTAAGAATGGTTAATTTTTTTTTCTTTCACAGGGGATATATATTCCAATTAAATGTATATGTGAATATAAACAGAATATGACCATAATATCCTGGTTTATTCCAAGATTTTTCTACTGTGTAATTTATGTTACCAAGTATAGAATTTACCTTGATTTTATCAATGGTATAGGAATTTTAAAAGAACAAAAGAAAGTCTACAAGGGGAATGAAGGAAGATGATAACAAGACAAGAAAAAGAAATGTAATCAGACTTACTCAGTACAAACATCTCACACAGTGTCTCTTTTCTAAATACTCTGCCAATCCAGGCCAGGCCAGGGTAGACAGAATGATGCTGAAGAATAGAAAGGCCCAGAAAGACCAGAAAAAAAAAAAACAAAAACAAAAACTTAAGTCCACCTACCAATCATATATGCTACTCACTCACCAAAGTTAGACTGACTGCTAACAATCCCACAATCAAAAAAGATGAAATATTTAGAGCCTTTTATTCCAATTGTAATATAAGTTCTGCAGAATAAAAGTTCTTCTTCATTCTTCCTCTACTCCTCCCAAGTTTTCTTGAGTTACCTCCAATAATTTGAAAATAAGTGATAGAAAAAAATGTCCTGAAGAAAAACTCATTTATTTATACATAGACTTCAGCCCCTCTTAACCATGCACAGTCAGTCCCTGGAAATTTCTAACAGAATGAATAAAACAATGAATGTAAGCATGGCTGATTCTAGTAACTTAAAAATTCGCAATCTATTTGTGTAGCCAGTTTCCACACGCTCTCTCCTTTGATCGTCAAAGCCTTTGTGAAGTTCAGATGCAGTGTGTGAGTGTCAGCAATTTGTCTAGACACAGAATTATTATCATTGAGCTGAAATCAGAATTCAGGTCTTCTGGTCTCAAATCCACAGATCTTCCCACTATTTCACTGTCAATCACAAGTATGGACATGATTTCTGGTCCCATCCAAAGTGCCCTGGTAAGATCCTCCCAGGGCATACCAGGGCAGGACTTACCCTTCCTGCAAGAGCCCTGTGAGAAGGAAGACACTAAAAGGGCTCTTGATTTCAAACAAACAAACTCTTAAGTTTCAAAATTCTTATTTCCCAAGGATTGTGTGAACCATGCATTCCTCAACTTTTCACCACCCACATACTCAGGCCTGACAGGACTCTATTCAGGGAGACTACCTGTCACAGACATCACTTAATTTTTTTTTAATTGTGGTATTGTCAACATGGTTCTTAAATCATCAAGTACCTGGACTAGGTCAAAGATTAACTCTCTGGCTTTCATCAAGAACTTGCTGCATGTTGTACATGGGAGGAATAAGGCAGGAACAGATGAACAGATACTGAAAGTATGACCTTTTCCCTTAAATGTGCTAGTTTGGCCCCACCACAATGAATATTCACCCCTTATCTTCTTTCTATAAAGTAGTCAAATACTCGTAATTTTGTATTAGCCATTCTGATTTCTTAGAAATGTAACCCAGGAAGTACTTCATCAACCCCTTCTCAACATGAAGTATCTCTGGTTTAACCAATATGGGTGTCTCCACACCTCTGCACCATTCCTCTGTAGGACACCACCCTAGCTGCTCACACCTCTACTATGTGGGGTAATCAGTCTCGCCCCTTTGAGCTTATATACCTAGGGATCCCTGCAATTACTGAAACCCAATCATTTTACAAGGTCCACTGAGGGGAGGGTAATATTAACCAGCAGTCTTCCTGTTAGAAGAGCACAGTGTGTTTGTGTGATGTAGGGGCTCAGGGCCCTGGCAGCCATTGGAGCAGCAAACAGCCTTCTGCAGAAGTGATAGCTCAGTGAAACTGCAGTTATAATCAAGCCAGCCAATCCAAGAAAAGAAGGGAGGAATGTTTCAGGTAGAGGAAGCACATGTGTGGAGGTTTCCAAATGAGAGATAGTATAGACAGAACTGTGTCCCAGGCACAGGGGTGCAGACCTTTGAGAAGTGGGCTGATTCACTTCAAGTCACTGAGGAATCTTTAGGTGAGCTTAAATAAGAACGGCTTCAGTAGTAAACAAAGGACACTGTAATGCATAAATGTATATTCACATAAAATGACTTCTAAATTCAAATTAGTGTATTTCTTAAACATTATACAGTAAGTATAATGACTACTGTGGGGTTTTGGAGAAAATTTTTCAGGATGAAACCAAAATCTGATATTCAAAAAGTCATACTCCATTGACTTAGACTTAACCTCTCCTACCTCCTTTCTCCAACCTCTATTCAGTTCCCTCAGGTTACACATGACTATGCCCAGTAGGAAATGTGTCTCATAAATAAATTCATTTCTAGAGGACAGTAATAAGCTATAACACTATGCAAATAATGTTGATTCTAAATAATACCAAATGAACACTTTCTGTTAAACATATACTTATGCATTAACAAATAATTACTGAATACACTATGTCTTTCCTGGAAGTAATAAATATTTGCACCATGGAATTTTCTAGGGGAAAGAGATCCATTTTGGAAAGTAAGGGAAATTTCAGACTGTTTTGCATAATGATTGCCCCAGTTCACCTTCTCACCAACAGCACACAAAGATTCTCTTTTTTTCACATCCTTCCCAATACTTATCTTTTGATTTTTTAATAATAGCCCTCTTAACAAGTATGTGATAGTATCTCATTCTGGTTTTGATTTGTATTTCTCTAATAATGATCAGCAATGTTCATCAACTTTTCACTTCAAGTTACAGGTCTTTCCTCAGAGAAATGTCTGTTTAGTTCATATGGCTTTATTTTTTGTCATAAAGCATATTAGTGTAACTTGGGCCACAGTGGGGTAAAGATGACATGGCTCTTTCTAGGACAATGATTCTTGTCACTCATTAAAGATGAACACGCAAATCCAGAGAGAGGAGGAGAGCAACTAAGCTCCAAGATGTTAAGTGGCCATGGTAAAACTTCAAGGGAACCTGTGGCTTTGGAAAGTCCAGTGCCTGCCCATACTTTCTGATGATAAAGAAGGACAGCCTGAAGACCCATTATCAGAAAGTCATATCCAATGACCTCAGAAATCTGGAAACGAGTGACTTCATAATAAACAAAAACCCTTAGTAGAAACAGATATGGAATTATAGCTGTACTGTGGCCCAATGGGTTATAAGGACAAGCGTGTAATGACAGTAACAATTGCTAACAAAAACCAGTAAATGCTTAATAACAGGGGTACAGAGAGGTTAAGGACTTCTCCATAGTCACATAGCTCACAGGTGAAAGAATAAGTTCAAGTCTAGTCGTCCTAGAGTTCTTGCTCTTAATTCTCGGACATAAGACTTTATACTTTTAATTATTTAGGTGGGAACGTTCCACACTGACATGATCATCACACAACCCAAGCTGTGTTTTTAAAATGGAAATGAACAGACACTCAATTCAAACACAAATACACTGACCTGTCCATGGAAAACATCTAAAGCTAACTAAAAAAATAAATAAATAAAGTGTTCTAGAATAATGATTTGCAATTATTGAAGAGCATGGCAAAAAACTGTCACGGGCAGTCACATAGGTAAACAGTCCTGTGCTTAATGATTCCTGGTTCAATGCTAAGTTTTCTTTGAAACCTCAGTGCTTCACTGTTTCAATACAGTTTCAGTCAATCCACTGACATTATCCAAGAATTAAACCTAACTCCCAGCCCCTCCTCAGACTGCAGTCTACACATGCCACCTACAGGCATAACAAGATGCTATTTTCCTAAGATAGTCAACAGAATAGCTAAAGTGACTGTGACCCCTAAAGATCCCAGGAAGAAGAGCAAAAATGCAGGCAAAAGAAAGGTGAATGATGAGTACAAAAGGAGAAAGACAAAAGAGGAAATCAAGGAAAATGCCAACCAAAAGGAAAAAAATATAAGTGTTAACTAGATTAAATTAAAGTCTGCAAAAACTAGGAAACTATAACTGAAAGCAGATTGAATTTTACCTAAAGTTAAATTGTATGTGCTTTGCAAAGTGATTAGACAGAGCAGAGATGATGCTTCTAGTAAGATAAATCAGGAAACACACTCAGGCTTTAAAATACATGACATATTCCACAGCACATCTTTGCCCTCAGCAGACTCCATTCTTCTGTGTCAGGTGCTCACTCAATACCTTCTCAGTTCAAAACAATAAAACAAGTCCTGCAATTCCATTTGTGAACATATTGCAAAATGTCTGGAAATCCACTGCCACCCCCAGCAGATACCCGACTTCATCTAGCAGGCAAGAGAGCAAAGCCATCTTCATAGGCTTAAAGTATAAACAGGCTCCTTTCTGTAGTTTGTACAGGGTTTCTGCTGCCCAGAAGTAGCCAGTCTTTGCATCTTTGCAAAGCACTCTTTAAAAAGGAAGTGACTACGGGCCCTCCCTGGTGGCACAGGGGGTTAAAGCGCCTCACTAAGAATCGAAAGCTATTTCCGCATGAGTTCGATCCCTACCTGCCCCAGAGGTGACCCACATGGCGAGGCAGACCTCTCCTGACCCGCCCACTGCTCCCCTCAGCAGTTTACTTAGTCCATCTGCCTGTTCTGCTCCCCATTCTGTCTCTGGTGAATCCTGTCACTGCCCCTGCTCCTCTGGCCTGTACCCCAATTGTGTATGCACAAATAAATAAATCTTTTTTTAAAAAAAAAAAAGTAAGAGATTATATCTGCATTGCTCTATTGCTCTCCACTAACAACAGCATATCTTAGGTCAAAACAATTTAGAACTATCCTGTGAAGAATAACATTTTTTAAAAAAGATTTATGTATTTATGTATACAGAACTGCAGTATAGGCCAGTGGTACAGGGGTGGTGAGAGGATTCACCAGACAGAGTGGTGAGCAGAACAGGCTGACTGACGAAGTACTCTACTGAGGGGAGCAGTGGGTGGGTCAGGAGAGGTCTGACCCCCATGTGGGTCACCTCCGGGGCTGCAGATCGAACTCATGCTCAAGTGGCTTTAGCTTCTTAGTTCTGCGCCATAAGGGAGGGCCAGAATAACATTTTTAATGTCAGTTACTCACTGTTCCTAACTATATAAAGAATATTCAAACCTGTCTATATTAGCATAGCTCTCACGGAGTAATTCTGTTGGGCTACTTCCCAGGTTTGAATCCTCACTTTGATTATCTAATAAATTTTTTGTCAATCATTAAGACTATTTCCAGTTAACACACCTCTGTGTTAGACATATGACAAGACAATGACAAAAGGAACTGATAAATAAAATGCTTCTAGTTTTCCCTAGCCCTATATAATGTAGAAGTTCAGGGTTCCCTAAATCAGGACCCAAATGAAAGATAAATCTTTTCTAAATGAGATTATTCCCAGCACATTATTTTGCTATTCACATACTTTCTCTTCATGCATTCTCTTACTGACAAGCTAAAGAATAACACACCTACAAACAGATTTTCACTTTAGAAAAAAGAATCTGCCTTCTTCATACTACTGCCTTGTTGTAGGTGATCTAGCAGACAGTGTTGTATGTGGAAAAACTGTAGATTTGGAGTCTGGCAAACAGTCCTAGGTTTGTGCACACCTATGATAAGTATATCTTTCCCTCTGTTTCCTCTTCATAAAGGGTGGGAGAGGGGCTAGTGGAGAGGGATTTACATTAATTTCCTGTCTCATGCTTCAGGAATAAATGGGAATAAGAAATCTTAGATGCATGATCCATAATTATAAGTCTGTTAGATTTCCTTCTTTTGTTAATTTACAAGATAAATACATGTGCCTATCAAGTGCCAGGTACAAAACTTAATTAAATGGAAATGACTTTCTCTGTCCCCTTGGCATGACAGTCAGATGGCAGGAGCAGAAATGAAGCATCTCCCTGCTAAGTTAGTGGATAGATGTGATTAAGTTAATGAGGGAGTAAGGTAGAAAAGCTCCATGGGGGCAAAAGAAAATGAAACTAAATTCAGAATACTAAGTGGAACTTGGAAGTCACATCCTTGTGTGGTAAGTTACTGAAATTCTCTGTGCCTTCCCTTTCCTTTTCTGTAAACTAAAGATAATAATTGTTCCCCATTGGATTCTGTAAAAAGTAAAAGCAACACCACTCCCTAGGGTACCCTATTTCTCCTCTGAGGCACTCACTCCTCAAATCAGCCTCTTCCTGAGATAGCTAGATTTCCATTTAGCAGCCAGCCACCTTGAACAGCCAAACTGCAGGAGTTAAGAAGCACCTTCAGTGGTCACCGGGTACCTGAATTCTACCCACCATCAAAAAGAAATACTGATAGCCACCAGGGAGCAGGACCCACTCACTGAAACATGATCATCAAATAATTTAAGATACCTTTTGAGGGATATATTCAGACTTAAGGGTCGACAAACCAGAAGGTGTGGCCCTCTCCTAATGGAAGTTGATCAGAATGAGCTGGACAATAATGATCAGAATAAAGAGGGCTTCCAAGCCCTCTTTAGAGATTCAGTCAAGATGCTTCTGAGAGCACAGTTTTTGCATTCCCACTTGGGCTCTGTGATCACCTGACCTCCTCTATCTGGTACAGTTAGGGCAGCAGCCCTTGGAAGGAAAGGTAAGATTGGAAAGTAAAGAACTGAAAGTCTAGGGTCTGGTAATCACCTCTCTGTGGCCAATTACTGACACAAATAAATAAGCCACATCCCAAGTGTCCTGTTCACCACAAGCGCACCCAGCAAAGGTCAATCACTAAGGTAAGGAGAGCAAGGATTCTTGAGGACAGGGGATCATTCATTCTGCTGCAAACAATTAAACCGAAAGGTAAAATGTTGCATTAAAGTACTAGAAAGACAAATCACATATATTCCCTTCCCCTAAAACAAATTTGCAAAAGACTTAAAGCTCATTTTCAATAAGGAATGGTCACAAAAACAGTTAAATTAACAAGCAAAAAGAATAATAATAAACAATTTTAAAAGTTTCTTTTCAACCTGACTGTCCTGGACCAGAATCCCACTCCTCAGTCTGGCGCTGGGCGCTGCTAAGGCAGAGAGGTGGAACCTAACAGAGGTAGGACTTGGCGGCGAGCGCGCGGCGCAGGTCTCCATGGAAACGGCGATGGCGGGGCGGATCCTAGGTGGGTGGGAGGGGTCGCGCGCGGTGGCTGCCGGGGAACTTCGGGAGCTGAGTCTAGGGGACGCCGACGAGAGGCAGCGCCTTCTGGGGACCGCGACCGCGAGTTCAGCCCCTGACCCGACTCTGGAAGGGAAAACAGAAAGTTGCTTCATAGCCCAGAATCTCCAACTCTGCCTCGTGGCCAGGTTAGAAACCAGAATCACGCTGGTTTGAAACCCTGGACCCCCGCTCCTGTGTTTCTAAATGAAAATGTCCGCATTTGGAACCTGAATTTAAATTGTTTCTTTATGGGCTAGATAGATTGGGAGACACTGGTTTTTCTTTTTTCCTGAACTTCCCCTTCCTTCCACCAGCTTCCCCTCTCCCCCTCCCAGCAGCTCTCAAGGTGAGGGGGTTCCTTGGAGCTGAAAATGTGGCACCCGTCAGTTCCCTGAAACTAAGGTGTAAAGTGTCGCAGCTCTTTGCGGGTTTCCCACTTGGGGGCAGCCTTGTCTTTCGCTCTGGTTCCGTCCTTTAAGCTGTGGCTGGTGTTTATTCCACTTAAATGCAGCTGCAGTCTCGTTAATATAAAATTAATATAATCTAGCGAGCGGAGCTTGGATGCGGAGAAACATGTCTGCTTGGAGGAAATAGACTAGGGCTCAAAATGTAAGAAAACCTCAGCTCCAATTCCTGGTTTATACCTAGGCTTCAAAAGATCAGAAAAACAAACAATTGCAGGAATTATTATTTGTAAAACAAGCGTATTCTTGTTGGAATAATATATATGCACTAGACAACAAGTTTCTCAACCCTCTGAGCCTTATCATTTAGCGGACAATTGGGTGAAACTTCAGGAGTAATGCAGACAGCCCCACCCCTTTCTTGAAAGCTGCACCTGGGCCCTGAAGACCATGAGGCAGCAAGGTGTTGAAATGAAAAAGGGACCCTCACATTAAAGTTCTCCCTGGTGGCAAAAAAAATGTGACAGAAATAGTCACACCTCCTGTAGATGTTAGTAGAATTGGTAATCTGTAGGACTCTATGCCTTACCCATACCATGTCTCACTACGATAACCTGTATGCAGGTCTGACTTCTGTGTTAGTATGTGCCTGAAATTTAATAAATACGAACAGCTCATTTTGTGTTAGCCTCAATGTACTTCCTCTCGTAGGAACTCCAGAATCAGGAATTATTGCAAAAAGGGAGTGAGGAAATTGGGAAATTAGGGCCAAGTGAGCTGACTGCAATAGGTCCTTGGAATAATAAAAGTTTTATTGTTGTTGTTTAATACAAAAAGGGACCTACCATCAAAAAGCTGTAAAATGTTTGATTGGGTGTTTTGGTTTTTAAATATTTACTTATTTATGCCTATAAGAACTGGGGTACAGGCCAGTGGTACAGGGAGTGAGAGGATTCATCAGGGACAGTAGGGAGCAGAACAGGTAGGTGGACTGAAATACACAACTGAGGGGAACAGCAAGCGAGACAGGAAAGGTCTGCTGCGCCATGTGGGTCACCTCGCTGTCCAGGGATCAAACTCAGGTTGTCATGGTGATAGTACTGCGAATTAATGCCTAAGCTGCCAGGAAGGCCCCTGATTGGGTGTAATTCTTTGCAGAGGGACTACATGCGCATTCTGACTCCTCAAAATAAAGCTACAGACATGCAGCTTTTTGATCAGCTGTCACACCGATTAACTATGGCACCTTTTTCCTAGGAGTGATTTGCAGAGTGACTTTCCTGAAGAGCATGCTTTGGGAAACGGTAAGTTGGAGTAATGACGACTTCCCAGCCGAGACCTGTATAAGGTAGGATGGCACACAGTTTTTGGACTCTTCTGATTTTCAGTGTGGTGATGGTAGATCTATATGAGTTGCTTCTTCGGGAGAGGAATGGAAGAAAACAGAATTTGCTAGAACACATTAAAGATTCTGCTTCAGGGTCTTAATATCCTTTATCTCTGAACTTGGTATTAGTTTGTCCCCATTTTAGAGATAAAGAAACTTGACTCTCACAAATTACTGAAATGTCACATTCAAGTTTGTGTAGTAAGAGATAAGGCTGTTTATCTGGAGCCAGTTACAGGCAGAGCCCAGGCCTTAGCACCAGAGCAGCCGGCAGGGATGGCGACAGCTGGTTTCATTTTCATGGTTACTGGGGTAATTAATGGTGAAAGGTGGGAGTAGAGAGCAGTAGGCCTCAAGTGGTGATGCCCCGATGTTATGTTGTCTTTTGGCGATGGACAAGAGGTTTTCCTTCATACAATTAGTTAGTAAAAAGTTGGAAATTTACTGGAATAGCATCAAAGCAGTGACTTAGTGACCGACAATTTGCATAGTCAGAGCAGGCAGTCAGGCTTTCTTGAGTAGGAGAAGATAATGCCCTTAGTCAGGTTTGGCAACAGAAGAACTAGGGGTTTTATTTATTTTATATATATTTAACTTATAGTGGAAAGAGAATGATTTAACCTTGGCTATAAGGATCCTCTATTTAGATAGACAAGAAAAGATGAATTATTGGGACTGACTCAGAATTATACCATTTGCATTAAATGTGTGTTATCTGAAATAAACACTGAGTAAGTAAATTCAAAGTTTAGTAAAATGAGAATTTATCAAGTGGTTATGTTTTGATGAGAAGTAGGGCTCACTGAATGGGTTCCTTGGGTTACCTTTGAGAAAAGTTTTGGCAGAGTTCTTCTTTCAGCAGCAACAGGCAAATTTACCCTGTGGACATTTGCACAAACAGGCAGGCAAAGGTTACATCTTAAAAGGTCAGATTTATTAGAAGGAAAGGAAAGCAAGACCCTTGCCCAGATACAAGTGGGCAGACAGCTGTTCCTGCTTTACAAAGGGAAAATGACTGTGAAAAGAAACACCTGGGAAGCTTCATTTGCCAGTGGAAAATGCAGAAATGGTAGAAATTGTAACAGATAGTTTTCTTCTTTGGGGGAGGGATTCATTCCTTTGTGGAATTGTTATCTATTGTTAGATTAATTTCTACCACAGTGTGACTAGATTGATTTTTGCAAGAACCGGTGATTCTCTACAACAGCTCTGAGTCTCCATATTCCCACTTCTGTTCTGCACTCTTTTATTGATAACAGTCAATGCTTAGGGATTTTTCATTTCTGTAGCTGGCTTGACAACTGTTAACCATTTCTACCCCCACCTCTAGTTTCTAGTCTTGTGATAGCTTCATCCCAGACTTTCTTTCTACTCTGAATTTCTGTCAATTCTTTAAAACCAAGCTGGGCTCCAGAGGTGAATACCAAGTTTCTCTGAGTGCTGGGTCCACCCCTAGAGTTTTGGGCCCCCTTACATAGAAAAGTTAGACACACAGAAAGAATATGTCTTCATTTTTTCTTCACTAAGCTGACATTTAGTAAATTTCTAACATTTTCAGATACTAAAGGAAGATTGCTTCCTTAATTGATAAAGGAAAAACATAACTTCAAAGAAATCCCTTGCCTTTACAGTACTAATTTAACCGGAGATACCTGTGTTTTGGAAGATATAAGTGACACAGCGTAAGTGGAAGAAATTTCAAGTAGGTGGGATCTATTCAGTGCAGACCATGCATTGTTCTGATTCTCTCAGAAGATGAAACAGGAAGGAGCAATGAATTCATTGTCCCAAGTCCCGTTTGAACGGTGGACTCAATCAATGGCTGACAAACCCTGTTCAAACAAAACTATTTTTAGTGTTATTTTAGTTTAGTTCTTTGGTTGTTTTTTTGCCCAAACATTTTGATCCATCACACTGACCATGAGGTGCCATGCTGGACAGAAAGGATTAGATCTTTTTTTTAAAGATTTTATTTATTCATACAGAGCTGGGGTACAGGCCAGAGATGGGGAGGGTGAGAGGATTCACCGGAGACAGAGTGGGGAGCAGAACAGGCAGATCGACAAAGTACACTGCTGAGGTGAGCAGCGGGCTGGTCAGGAGAGGTCTGCCACGCCATGTGGATCTCCTCCGGGGCAGGTGGGAATTGAACTTATGCAGAGGTGGCTTAAGCTTCTTAGTGCAGGGCTTTAACCCGCTGCGCTACCAGGGAAGGCCTGAAAGGATTAGATTTTAAGGATGAACTCAATTAGATGAACTCAGTGTCCCAGAGGGAAAAGGCCGAGCGCCCATGTACACAATTGGAATATAACTTGTCTGCGCATGCCCAGGCACAGCCCGACCCAGAATAAGTTAGGAGGCTGCTCAACCCCTACCACTGCCGGGACTTTTCCTATAAATATCTCCTCACTCCCTCCTAGAAGCCAGTTAAGTGCTCCTTGGCACTGACTCCCTCCTGCATGAATTCCTCTAATAAGGTCTTGCCTGGGGCGGCTATATTAGTACTCACTGGTGAAATTTTTTCCTGGAAGGCAAAGGACCCACTCTTGTTGGTTAGGCCTGTAACACAAGGATGAAAGGTTAATTAACTCCGTATTCCAAAAGTACCCTTACAGATACGTAGGCATGGCCATCATGTTGCCTCACCCTCCCTCCTGTAAGTCAGGAAATATGACAGGGGCTTTGCCTGCTGACTTTTTCAGACATTCATTTGTTTATCCAGGATTTTTCAGTGAACTGGAATCATTGTTGTATTAGCTCCATCCTCTGAAGGCAGCCTGTGCAGAGCAGACATTTTCCAACAAAACAAAAATGTAGAATTTCACTGCCTTGGTCCAAGGTACTGATTACACTTATTAGTGTGGATAGAATCAGCTACGGGGGAAATGTTTTATAAAGTAAAGAGGACATCTAAGGATACAAGAGGAGAAAGGTTTTGAAGGTGACGGAGATGGCCCTTTGATCTGCTTCTGAGTTTCCTGTGTTTTGGCCATGTTCTACAAAACACAAAGCCATAGTCACTTTGCAAAAGAGAGATTTAAGGTGACAAGTACAAAGATTTGGTCATATTATGACTTAGTTTCCAGAAAGTGTTATTGTCTCCTTGCCATATTTTCTACTCTAAGCCTCCATCATTATCATT